TGGGGGTGGACGCAGAGCACCTTCAAATCACTGTGCTGATTATCCCTAGATAATCTTTTGGCTCGACGTCTTTTGCTTACTGGTTTCACGTGGCCACGCATACATGCATGGATATGATGATGACCGGGCTGTTTCATTTTGTGAACTTAAGATCTTTGCTTTCCGTCGCTTGACTTTTATGACAGCCGGTTATTTTTTTCGTTTTTCTTTCAGTTGTCCCGAAACAAGTTGACTAGTTGAATTGTCGTCTTTCACATTATGGATCCACTGCAGGTGAGCATTGATTGAATTCTCATATAATGGATTGCTCGCTGACCGAGAGAGTCCAACTGCAGACGTTTCATCACCAGCCGAACTGGTATCTTCGTTACACTCAGACGATAGGTTCATTGGTGAATACTGGTCTTCAGTAGACGGATGCTGTCGCCTACTTTATTGGACTTTATGTTCATTCTAAACATTAAAATCAACTATTCATCGCATTTTAGGTAGTGTTACTTGAGCGACGGCTCTTGGCCGTGACGAAGATTATTTCGACGTTGGACTAGTCTTTCAATCCTATTGGCAGACTGGTCATGTTATCGCGGGAAATGGTTGCTTAAACTATTCCGTTCATTGTCCGGTCATTGGTTCATGTTACCTTAACCGGTGAGCCTTAGTTCGTTTAATTTTTTCATTTCGAAATTGTTGATGGACAAAGTCTAGCTCCGTGCTCATTAGTATTGAACACTTCAGCTAACAACAAAATGTACCTAGGCTGGAGCGTTGACACTGCAATGGGAACTACGTGGGTTACGCACGCGATGAATCGTTGACCATAACACAGGCAGACCCACGAGCCTGCATCTTCAACTACACTTCATCCGTTATTTCAGCATGTTTCGCTAAAAGACGCAACTTCCACTGGAGTTAGACAAAAACTCTGAGAGACAAGAATAGGGTGTTTATCCATCTCTCGTTCTTCACAAGGAATTAAACTGTACTGTATATGCCAATTCAGTAGATAGGAAAAATGGTCACCGCTTGTGACAAGATGAGCCAGTGACTGGACAACGAACTGGACAACCTACCTCGCTGCGTCCCTTGGCAGCATGAGCATTTCGCCAATGGGAATGCAAGACTCCGTCCAACATCGAAACCCTTTTTGCTACGGCTAGCGGCTATGCTCAAATATGACTAAATATAACAATTGGCGACCAACGCGGAACGATCATGACTACTGACTGTTGGAATGTATACGGCGTACATCCCAGTAGCTGTCAGCATCCGCATGTGGACATACCAGAAGATTTGTATTCACTTACGAGGCTAATCATTATTAATTTCTGTAGATCTTATCACGGTTAGTGACCGAGCGCCTGCAACTACATTCCCCTTTTTCGGCGAACAATCAAACACCCCGACGGCTACTATGAACTACAGTTATTTGGAGTTTCAACTAGGTTATCTGTCAGGTTTCCCCTTTTTATTATATCCTCGGATGGCTTTCGCTGAATCAAGCACCGGTTGTCAAATCTTATTATCTCGCTTTGATTTCGCATCAACTCCATGCGCAATTAGCATTGTCGTTACTCACCATGTGTTACCACAGAATCGGCTTGTATCAACACCCAGATATACAGCCAACATACGCTTTTCTGTTGGCTAACTGCAGCCAGTGATGCAATTGTTATTTGGGTTAGCCCCTGTTGCAACATGTGATACATTTGATTGTCTGCTCAGTTGGGTTGTCAACACGCAGTACCACTCGGTAACCTCATGCGCTTTATCTGTCACTATTTGAACTGTCTCGTCATTATGTATGATCCTAGTTACAACAGCAACAGCTGCGTTAATTCCTGCCGATCAATACATTTGCCAAGTTCTGGGTTTCTATCCAACCAATCTTTCCGATTATGTCGGGGACTTGTAAAACGATTGACTGTTTGATTCCATTCACAAGTAGTTTGTGCAACTGTTTAATCTTGCTACCCCAGCATTCACATGAGGACTACCAGTTTTCTGGTTTACGCACGGCATCTCACACTGACAAATTGATCTCTTTTTCAGCCGCAACCTCTGTCTTGCGTTGCGGAGTTTACCACTTCGGCTACTGCTTTTCTCGGAGTTGGGACGTTTATCATGGTTCTGCTGACCTTATTCAAATTGATAAACAATTCGGAACTCAAATATCGGTTGCATTATGGTTCTGACCCTCCCCGAATTTGCTGCGCTCCGCTGCCTCACGCCAAACCTGGACTTTCGTGGGATCCATGACACAATTTTCCTACCCTCCACTGTCTCACAACCGTACCATTACGCCAACTCGTCTGGCAACAAACGCTTTCGTACCTTACTTTCAAATGTGCATCCTATATGAGCACGTTTGGCTTCGCATTCTGCTCATGTTCACGTGTTATGCAACATGGATAACATTTCCAATTTCTTTTCTCTCATTTGCTTGATTATGGGTATCTACTTCTCACAACGGGATAATGGCGTCGCTTCCCTGTAATTTTGGATTCACACATCCGACTATATACTGACAGTACACATCTATTCCGTTCTACTTTGTGCTATAGTTGGTAAACTTTTCTCTGTGTCCAATTTCCGTCCAGAAGCAACTGTTCGTTGCGCTCAAACTCCCTTGGAGTTAATGATACCTCCTCAACCTATAGCAACTGTTTACTTCGCTTGTCTATGACCTCTCGCTTACCACTTATTAATTTCCTCTTTTGTCACGCTATCCTTTGGCATGTTGTCCGTTCGAAAGTGAACAGAGGGCACGAAATAGTACCAACTTGCAAAATTCATCTTCTTATTGTGCTATTCAAGTTAATACAGGGAACTCGATTATTGTCATTGTTGCGACCCAACTTTGTTTTGATTTCGGGATCACTGGCTATGTGGTACTCAACGTTCAACCGGTGAACGTTCAAGTACTCAATTTTGGAGGTATTCGTTTTGGCTGTACTCGAATTTGGAGGTACTCAACGTAACACACCCAACCATATACTTGCTGTACACATTTATTCCTTTCTACTTTGTGCTATGGTTGGTAAAATTTTCTCAAAGGATACATTTTTGATTTGTGCGTCCATATGTGACACTGAGACGCGTCACATGGTGTTAAGTATGCGTTAACGGGTTGTAGCTAATCAACCGGATTTGGATACCTTCCTGATTAAAAGTTGGACTTGGAGAATCCCCTGTGTGGTTGGGTTGCTACAAGCAACCCCTATTGAGAAGTTGGTTCGCTTGAGGTGAACCTCGGTCATTCCACTCACAAGGACCATAGGTGAAATGGAAATATTTTGGTGTTGCTCATCTCAACACTGGCTCCCCACGACCGCGGTTTCTTCCTAGTTTGGACTCATCAGGTGGAGATAGCCTGAGCTGGCGTGAAAATCAGAGCCTGGTGATTCACGACTGACCCCCTAAACACTGTGCCATTGAGATCTGCGAGCAGTGCTTGGTACAGCGGAAACGAATTCAAAGTTTGATCTAGGTGGACGAGTTCCATAGCGTCCTCGTTTAAAATATTTGACTTTATCTTTCCAACGTACCTTTTTATTCCTGACACGAACAGAAACGGTAAACGGCGGTGGATTTTTGGAAATCTAAAAACAAATTCTTGTGGGACCGTTAATGTGATTGGTTTATTCGCCTACCAGGTCCTGTTTTGTCAGTGACGCTTGCGTGTTCGCGCCTTTTACCTGCATTGTCTACGTGTCCGATCAATTTTCATACCGTAAAACAGAGTATTCGAACAGCATCCCAGCTATCGAAGTCCTTATTGCTGTACTATCCGATTTGATCTTTTTGCATTTCCTGTACCCAATTTACTTTTGTGTTAGTACCTACTGCAGATGCATTGCTCTTCGCGGATGCTTCCTTTAAGGCTGGTTGCCAATGCACACTTCTCACAGACTGCGCGAACAATCACCTTTCTCTCCAAAATGTTATGCTGTGTAGCGACCGAGCATGACTTAAAGATTACTCCAAATTCACGACTTCTCGCAATTACAGTATGTCCGATGGAAGAGGGCCGTTGAACGTTTTGCCAGGACCTTCCGCGCTCAGCATTCAGAGCGAGGTTAGCTGACAGCTAGCGATCGCCGGACAGTGTCATGTGGCTGTCTTTAGTTGTCTCGCTCGAACTGCCGGCGTGCCGGCCTATACCTCACCAGTTTTACGCTTGCGTTCAGCTGATGCCTGAACTAAACCATTTGTATGAGGAGGATGCTATATGTCCTCACCACTAAGGTTAGAGAGAAATTAATGTGTCTGCACTCGCTCACCCACGCCATTCCGCTAAGCATTTGATGGCGGGGACAACTATTGTAAATGACCGGCATTCACCATTAGCGAGCCGCGGTCGGTTCATGAACCGCCCTTCACATTCCGGAATGCGTTCATCGACCCTCTTCCATCGGACGTACTGTAGATTTAGTAGACATCCGGCCCAGCTGAACGTTGACTGTTTGCTTAAGTCAGCTGTTAACTTTGACACACTTTCGAAATCTCCGAGCCCGCGGTTCCATTCTTCGCCTTCTTCGTACGCACGCATTTACTTACTGCTCTCACTACCAATTTTCAATTTGATGTTTCGCTGTGTGCACGATACTGTACGAACCAGTTAGTAAATGCAACTCTCTTTGACTAATTGTCCCTCACCGTCATTGGCCGATTATTAAGCGCTCGCACTACGGTCTGTGGCACCAGACCAGCGCATGTTACTCAGTCTCTTCACTAGGAAATTATGTTTCGACGGAACGGAGCTAAATAGCGTTTACTCGTATTAAGACTTTTCCTCCGACGTCATTTCTAAATAGAATGGTCAACATATGCAACCCACTTAAACCCTTGTTTGAGCGACATATTTTCAAACTTACGTTAACTCGATTACTTTTTTGATTGTGTGCAGTATAGCTGTTCTTCATTTTTGTAACCACTTTTCACCTCTCTTCTCGAATCACTTTTGCTCATTCCAATGAATAATGCACCCTAACATATTTGCAACTAAAACGCAAGGCTTTTTGGCTGTCATGCGATTGCCAGATTTGTCACGCGACTAGTCAATATCTCTCATCACGAATATCGGCCATGGAGACGTGAATCCATTTGATCGGCTAACCACTAGACGTAGTTCCTTTGCTGTCGTCAATGCATATGTGCATTTTACGGGCATTTGAGTGACATAGGCTCACTATCTACTGGTCGTCAACCGGTGCGTAATGGATGGACAATGTTTACCAAATGCATGCGAGATGTCGCCACGGTTGCTGCTCTTTTCATTGTGGATTCGCTTTAAATGCTGCCAAATACAATTGACACATCCACTTAGCCGTGTCGTTTGGCTGTTTGATAACTTCACGTCCATCTTACTTGAAGGTACCTGAAAACGATGCTCAATTTTTTCAATATTTTGAATAATTCACATCCGCCAAGAAACGGCGCCAGCACATCGATACTCAACGTTCACTTCGTCGTTCTGACTGCTGGCCAGGCAGGGGCCACGTAGATCAGCAGGGCCAAACTGTTGTCGAATGTCATCGTCAACTCACGATTATGAAAGACCGACATGAGTGTTTTACGCACACACATTAACATGGTGTATCTCGCGTGCATTTGTTATTAATGAAGTGATTATAAGCATAAGTACATCGGTAATGCTTCCCAAACTGTGTTGAATCATTCATGGGTATATATATTATACACAATCTGTGGTACAGATATTGTGCCATCGGAATCATGGCTGAATAGGAAAACAATATGAATAATAAGAAAAGAGCAACAAGAAATGCTTTTTTGTAAAGTTTACCACCCACAGTTTTTGAAATTTTTTCAGTTTGTTCTTTTTTAGGGGGAGGAAGAAGGGACACCGCAACACACTGATGCACACGTCCGCCATTGACATCGATCTTGAGCCATGGCTTCCAAGGTCTTCAACCAGCAAGTATCCTCATCTCTCGGACCCCAACCAGGTAGTCGACAACAACCGGCCGAGGCCAATTGTTTCGTCAACTTTTTCATGCGGCTTCTCCATGTTGTAGGCTGTCCACCAGATCGTCTCTTCCAGCCCTGTTCAGCAAGTGCAAACAACGCACGACGGGGGTAACGCTGGACAGGCATGCGCAATACGTGTCCCAACCACCGCAGTTGATGCAGTGAGATGAGCTCCTCGAGCGAGTGGCTTCCACGTCCCAAGACACGCTGTCTAACTTCCACATTGCTTACGTGGTGCTGCCACCACACACGGGCAATGGACCGCAGGCAGCGGTGCTCGAAGACGGATAGCCTGCGCAAGTCATCTTTACGAATGGGCCAGGTCTCGCATCCGTACAACAGTACAGCACGAATAGTTGCACAATAGACCCGCCCTTTGATGGAGAGACGAATGTCGTGGCGACGCCACAAATGCCTCAGCCTAGAAAAAGCGAGGCATGCTCTCGAGATGCGCATCGAAATCTCGTTTCCAACAGCCCCGCCAGCAGTGATGCAACTTCCCAAGTAGACAAAGCTCTCCACAACCTCTAGTGTCTCACCAGCAAGCGTGAGTGCAGGCAGAGGCACCTGCCAGTCTTGAAGAGAGCCTTGCATTTGGATGGCGAAAAGTACATACCGTACTTTGATGCTTCAATCGCCAAGCGGTTTAATGCTAGTTAGACGACGTGTGGGTCGTCACCCAGCAAGACGATATCATCAGCATAATCCAAATCAACAACTCGATTAGCTGGGAGGAGCTCAACGCCAGCATTCAACGAATTGCCTAGAGCGTTCTTTAAGACATCCTCGATGGCAAAGTTGAATAGGAACGGAGAGATAGGGCATCCTTGGCGAACTCCACTGGAGACCACAAAGGTAGGCGAAAGCATGCCATAAGCCCTAACCCTGCCCGAGGTCAGACTGTATAGAGCGCGCAGTATGGAAACGAACTTCTCGGGGACACCGTTCCTCAGAAGGCAATGCCACAGTACTGTACGATCGACAGAATCGAAGGCTGCACGGATATCCAGGAACACAGCAATCGTTTGCCTCTGATACACATGGCGGAGCTCGAGGATCTGGCGAAGTGTGAAGATTTGATCGATGCAGCCGCGACCAGGGCGAAACCCAGCTTGTTCTTCTCGTTGCAACGATTCGCGTGTTGGGGATAGCCTGCGAAGTATGATGGACACCAGCAGCTTGCAAGCGACGGGGACTAAACTTATTGCTCTGTAGTTGGTGCAGATTGTGCGCAGGCCCTTTTTGAAGATGGGGACGACTATCGATTC